GAATTGGGATCATGTTTTGCTAAGGAGAGAATGGGAACAGGGAATGGAAACAGGAACGGGGACACAGGCAAGGCTCTGTGGTGTCAGAGCTGGAAAGGGGGACACTAAGGAAGGAAACCGGAATCATGCTTGCTGAAAATTCACCCCAATAAACATCAAATTGTTTGCACCTTTGAATTTCGGGTTTTGTTGCTCTCTGTTCATGCGAGAAGGACCAGAGAGTGAGAGGGTAAAGAAATAACCACCCTAACAGTGAGCACCACCCAGACCTGCTCTGCCCCCAGCTCCAGCCTCAGCTTCCGCCCCTGGCCCCAGCTCCGATCCAAGCCCCAGCCCCACCCCCAGCCTCAGCACCTGGTCATGGCTCCACTCCCGGCCCCGCTCCCGACCCCAGAATCACCTCCAGCCCCTTCCCCTTTACCCCATCTGTCTCCCCGCTGAGCTGCAGCCCCGCTCCTGGCCCCAGAACCTCCTCCAGCCCTTCCCCATTGCCCCTGTCTGCCCCCTTGCTGAGCTGCGTCCCCGCTCCTGGCCCCAGCTCCCAGGGGCGCATGTAATGGGCCTTTACCACCTACACCAAGGTTATTACTAGGCTTTGCAGACATTGATTTTTGTTCTTTTATAATTGCGACAGATGATATCAGTGTTTATTTTTCGCATTTTTTCCATTTTGTATCTATTTTAATGTTCACAATTGTAGGAAATTATGGGGACGGGGTCAGACAATAGCTACTTAATGACAGGAGATGTTGAGATTCAGCAAGCTGAAATTTTATCATCATTGAAACACAAGTTATCAACCTCATATGTCAAAAGGAAGTGGCTCTAAGAAATGCTCAGGCAGTACTTTTCTTACTTTGCCTGTCTGTACATTTTGCTGATTATCGATGGAAATATTTGTTGTCGGCTGGCGTATGTGCAGCGCAACTCAAGTTTGTCGACATTTAACCAATTAAAACCTGATCCTTCCAAGCCCACCTATAATACAATGACAGCAGATAAGTAACTTCCACCCTGTTTATGTCACTACCGAGTTTAGCCCAGAGTCTCTGGGCCAGAACCTCATCAGCATTACACTGCTGATTGATGTGAATGGAGCTACTCTACATTGGCGCTGGTCGAGCTGAGCTGAGAAATCTGACCCTCACAGCTCTGCCCCACTCTAGGGTGCTCTTAGCCAAATCTGGAACTTTGGCATTGTTAGGTCGATGTAGTGGCTGACTTACCACAGTGGAAGCACCATTCTAATGTAGACACTGACTGGCACTTACTAGGTCGACGTAAGCTGCCTTGCTTATGTCTGGGTGCACATACTCAGTTCATGGAAACTGGCATAGCTCTATAGCACTCTGCCAATTCATGCCAGCCGGGGATCAGGCCCCATTGATTCCAGTAAAATGATTTACACGCCGGCTGGAGATCTGTCCCATTGACTCCAGTGATGCAATGGCTGATTTAGACGCCCTGGGGATCCAGCCCTTGGGATCCTTTCAATCTCTTCGACATGCCCACAACCAAAGGGAATTCAACATTTTAAAAAATAGCATGCAGCTTTGGATCTGCAGCCAAAGGAACCTTTTATCTTAGTGTTTTCTGCAGAAAGAAAGAACATAAATTGGGCCATTCATCCCCATAGAGATTGAAGATCAGCTACAGAAAACCTCCAATACACTGAGGTTCTCCCAGTGGGAATGAATCGCTCCACCACCATTAGAAGTTATGCTGTAATTAATCCCCAGGGACTAAGAGCTAGGAAAGAGCAGACAGGTTGGGAACTTTTGACTCTTCCTCGGTTCAGTTTCACTGGCAAAAAAAAAATGCGGATTGGAACCTGTGTAATGGGCTAGATCCCCAGGTGGTGTAAATTGAGGTAGCTCCATGGACACCAATGGGCCAAATCCCAGCTGGTGTAAATAGCCCTGGATACTCAGAAGTCAATGGAACTGTATCAATTTACAGCAGTCCAGGACCTGGCTCTTAGTTTTCAGTTTTTGTCTCTGGGTACCTCTGAGTGACCAACTTCAAGCAGTCTGAGCTATGGGTTCCTCTGGTGGCTGCATCCCAAGAGCTGCTGATGTGATGCAGGAGAACAACATCTCTGTGCCCCTCTCCCCAGAGGTCATTAAATGGTGTTAACGAAGCAACAGGCTGTTCCAGGAGGCCTGAGGTTATGGAGGTTTATTTCTGCAACCTCCTGGGATTGCCTTTGAGCATCAGCCCTGCCTTGTTTTTAGCCAAGGGTCCTTCCAGGAATGCAGCCATTGTGTGAGATCCAGGGCGGGTGCTGCTCCCTAACTGGGGGGTTAGGGGTGGCTAGGGCACGTTGTCAGGGTGCTTTGCTCAGAGGTGAGATCAAAGCTGGGCTCATGGTCCTGGAGACCGGATTCAGCTATGTAGCCCCAGAGCAGGGACATCCTGAGCTATGTCCGCGTCCGAAGCCTGCACAAGCAAGGATCAGTTCTAAAGTTGGGAGGGGCGTCAGTCCCAGTTCGTCCTTCACCTCTCAGCCAAGCCTGCCCAAGCAGGGGAGCAGGGAGCCCCTGTCTGTGGAGTGGATCCCGGTCTGCTAGGAACTGCAGAGAGACCCAGCAACTCAGGACATCGAGCGATGGGACAGGGCAATGGCAGCTGGATAATACACTGATGGGTGCTAGATAGATACCATCCAAACAATTCTGATACTTGAGAATCGAATGCATGGCAAGCTGAGACAAATTCCACAGTAAGTTTGCTATTTCAGGTATAGATTTGCGGGAATTCATATACAGGGATATTGAAGAACATAAATGTGAAATTACAATCTGAACTCCTTTAGATTTTAGTGTCAATTTAATGAAGATATCTGCTGCTGGCCAGAATTGTTTTCCCTCTCTGGAAAATTATGAATTTTTACCATAAACGCTGAACGTGAGTTTTTTTCCCCCATGGTTTTTGGAGAATTCAGCCAAAAATTTGAAATTCTAAGCTGAAAACCAAGGATTTCTTTCTTTCCGAGAATAATCCAAATTTTTCAGGAAAGCAGACTGAGTCTTTGTTTAGCTGAACACCCAAATTTCCATCAAAAATAAATAAATTGACAGTTAGCTTAAAAAAGGGAAGGTACAGGGATGATTTGGCCACAGTCTATAAGTATCTACATGAAGAATATAAATTGCAGATCAGGTCTAAGTAAATGATGCCATGTGAATTATCTATCCTCTCTCAGTAAGTAACCCCCATGTTACATGTGGGGAAATGGAGGCACAGAGAGTTACGTATCTGGGCTTAGATCACAGGACCTCCAGTCTCTTGATCACCTCTCTAGCCCCTGTTGCCTGGCTGCACTTGTTTAGGTTGGGATCCTGAAGGGAGCCTAAGGGAGTTAGGAGTCCAAGATGTATGTGCCTTACTCCCTTAGGCTCCTTTGCAACCCCCAGCCTTCATTTTCTGAAATTCCAGAGAAGCCCAGGCCTTGTAAATTAACAAGACAGACACAGGGCCAGGATTACAAAGGGGTTTAGGTACCTAAAGCTGGAAATAGATGCCAAATGGGATTTACAGTAGCACCTAAGCCAGTTAGGTGCCTAACTCCCATTGAATATCCATGGGATTTAGCCACCTAAATTTAGCTTTGATCAATCCCAGTAGGTACCTTTCTCCATCTTTAGGTGCCCAAATCCCTTTGGAATCCTGGCCCACAGATAATACAGAAACCGGGCTGGAGTCAGAGCACCCGGTAGGCCCTGTGCTATGCAGGGGGTGAGACTAGAAGATCACAATGCCCCATTTTGGTTTGAAATTCCATGAATTCACACCATTTTGCCTCTGGGGCTCTGCTTCTGAGCTGTGCAGGGCTCCAGGGAGTGATTCCCTGCAAGCTCTTTGAAAATAGACAAGGATAGACAGCCTTCTCTGTCAGTCCTTTAATGTCAGTGAAGTGCAAAGTCAGCTCCATACAGCTCATCTGCAGAGAGCAACAGGTTTCAGTCAAATTCTGTCCATTCATTCTCAGAGTGAAAGCCCGTCTATCTTGATCCTGCCCAAGGACATAGAGAAGGTCAATTGGACAGAACCTAGATCTCCTGCTCTAGCCTCATCTCCTCTGTCCCACACTGCTGCCAACTGAACACCAATGCTGTACACAGGTGTTCAGAACAGACACATAGTCAAACTCCTCCCTAACCGAGACACAAGTACGGCTGTTGTTTGTCCCCCGCTGCTCCTACTGGGAGGTTGTCCCGGACCCTCCCTCCTCTGGTGGGGACAAACCTGCTTCCCACCTCCAGCCCAAATTGACTCCTGGCCAGTTTATCCCCATTTGTTCCTGGGCCAGTGTAACACAGAACATCGGTGGGGGGGATCAAAGCTGGGCTCTCTGAAGCTTAGTGCATGAGCCACTACTGCATGAGCTAAAAGCCATGTGCCTGTTAGCTAAGACTGTAGAGCAGACTCAATAATCTCTCTCTAGGTGGTCTCGGTGCCAATAGATGGGACAGAACACCCCACCCAGGAGCTGTGTGGGTTACACCAGCATTGTCCCTTTAGCATCAATAGCTCTTCTCCCTGCCTGCTGTTTACCCCCCATCTATGTGTAGGGAGCGATCACATCCCCTCTCTGCCAGCATTTTGCTTGGCTAAACAGGCCAAATCCTTTCAGGCTCTGTCTACACTACAAGTTAGGGCTGCGATTGACACTTGTCTGAACGCGGGGGGCTCCCCGGCTCTCCACTGGCACAATAGGATGGCCACTGGTCCTAAGATTGTTGGGCTTTGGGTTGTAATTCATTCCATATTTTATGAAAATTTTATGAAAATTTTATGAAGCCACATCTCAGAGCAGATTGCTGGTTTAGTGGGAACAGACACCATCTGCTGACCACAAGGGAGGTGCAACAATTGACACTGGGGGCACAATGCAGCTCTAACGGTGTGATTGTCAGAGGTGACCTGAGCTTTGTCTGTGTCCTTCTCCCCACTTCCCCTCACCGCCGCCAGGCACCCAGGGCGTCCTAAGAAGGAAAATGTCCAACCGAACCAGCATGACCGAGTTCCTTCTCCTGGGATTCTCTGAGGTTCGGGAGCTGCAGATTTTACACTTCCTGCTGTTTCTAGGGATTTACCTGGTTGCCCTGACAGGGAATCTCCTTGTTATCACCCTTGTAGTGCTCGACCCCCTCCTTCATACCCCCATGTACTTTTTCCTGGTGAATCTGTCCATCCTAGACCTCGGCTCCATCTCCCTCACTGTTCCCAAGTCCATGGCCAATTCCCTGTTGAACACCAGATCGATTTCTTATGCTGGATGTGTCACCCAAGTCTTTCTCTTCATCTTCTTCACCGCGGTTGACTTTGGTTTTCTCACCATCATGGCCTACGACCGGTATGTCGCCATCTGCAAGCCACTGCACTATGAGACTATAATGAACAGGAGAGCTTGTGTCCAAATGGCAGCCAGTGCCTGGATCACTGGGGTTCTCCTTTCTACACTGCACACCGGGAACACATTTGCAATAACTTTCTGTGGAGGCAACACGGTGGGTCAGTTCTACTGTGAAATCCCCCAGCTCCTCAAGCTCACCTGCTCCGACCTGTACCTTGGTGAAGTTGGGGTTATTTCCTTTAAGTATTCTTAGGCATAAGCTGCTTTGGTTTCATAATTGTGTCGTATGTTCAGATCTTCAAAACGGTGCTGAGAATCCCCTCTGGGCAGGGCTGGCATAAAGCCTTCTCCACCTGCCTGCCTCACCTCACTGTGGTCTCCTTGTTACTTTGTACTGCTGTTTTTGCTTACGTAAACCCCGCCTCCAGTTCTCCATCAGGGCAGGTTCTTGTGGTGGGTGTACTTTATTCTGTGGTGCCTCCAATGATGAATCCCATCATCTACAGTGTGAGGAATAAGGCAATCAAAGGTGCCTTGAAGAAACTGACTGGGTGGAGGTTATTCACCAAGAACACAATGTCTGGCTTTCTCCCATGACCATGGTTTCATTCTGTGTTTCCTTAAAGATATAATCAAATGATGACATTATTGTCTCCATTGGAAGGTGATGTGCAATCTTATCTATACAAAATGCTGTGTTTACTCTGGTAATAATCTAGACTGAGATCACTGAAGTCAGTGGAGTTACTCTAGCTTTACACCATTGTAAATTAGATAAGAATTGATTGATCGATCAATAGGTCTATAAAAGGTAAAAAAAACCACCTTTGTTAACACAGAGTTAAGGTTGCCCAGTGGTAGTTCAGAGCCTTCCAGAATATTGAGTTGTACAGCAAAACTTAAATTTTGGAAAGCCAAGAAATACAGAATGAAGATACATGCTCACACAACCTTAACTCTGCCCCACCAGGAGCTGACAATAGCCCCTGGGAATTAGCTGAATTAAACTCAAGCTACATTTATTGTCTTAGCTGTAGCAGATTTGAAGGGTAGTCTGTTTGTGAGATGAGGAGATCTGGGTCTGAGTCCCCCATGTGTGTGATCAAAGGGAAGAGGTGCATGTGTCCCTTGAGGGTCCCGTCTAATCATTTCAACATAGAACTGTGTAGATTGTGTCAGGAGCAGGGCCCTGGGGATTGTCAGTGGTGAGGGGGGGATATGAGAACAAGCTGTGGGTTTAATGCCGGGTACGGGAAAGTAGAGGGTTAGGTGGTCTCCTGTGTGCTAGTATGAAGGTGATGTAAAAGCAGATGGTGTTAAATTGTACAAACGTGGTGTAGGAGCAGGATTTTATAATGTCCCATGAGAATTAATGTATGATTTGATTTCATCCTGCCAGCCACCCTTTTTGAATAGCAGAAAGGAATGACAGACCAGAACAATCCTTCTGACTGATTATGGTCACCCTTTTGTTTTAGGATAAGTTATAATGTCTACTATGGTTTCCTATATGTATTACAAATTAGGCACTCTAGTTAAATATACATTTCTTTGTTTTAAGGTTTTAGTAAGTAAGAGACAGGATCTTGTATTGTATCTATGTTAAGGAGATTAGAGGAATGTTGAGGGCCTGAAGCCCCAATGTGAATTGTTTTAGTTATAATATTTAGCAAGGCTTGATTTACAATATATTCTGCTGAATATACAATACTGCTGTCTGTATACCTTTGAAGGTTTCTGTAAGAGATTGTTTGTGTGAATGAGGAATGCATGCATCAGGAAAAGATAAGGTGTGAAAGCCATCACAAATGTCCAGATGGTCAAGAAGAAGAGAGAGACTTGGAAAGACCAGGAGACAATCAGAAAACATCCATTGTATCCGATGCTAAAGATGTTAGCAGCATTGACGACCTCAGAGGTGAGGCAGGCACCCCCGAAGGCGAGACAACAAATAGGAGATAATGATGGGAAGCCCGACAATAACCATCAAATGATAACACCACTTAAGGAATAATGATTACAGGATGGCATTGCAAAATGCATGGACTCAAATGGAAATTTACAACTGGGGTATTTTGCCACGGAACTCTGGGTTCAGTCCTGCAAAGCCTCAGAGCATCGGAAGAGCCCAGCTCCACACTCGTGCTCAGTCTAACTGGCCATTAGATTGACTCAAGCCACAACAGACTGGTAACTATAAACATCACTGGCAGGACTCTGTGTGTGTGTGTGTATGTGTGTGACTGAAAAGCATCTGCTAATTGTTGTATTTTCAATAAATGCTGCGTATTTGCCTTCCTCTATAAAGATCCCATGTGCTTTGTATGAGCATAACAGTGGTATTCTGTGGGGGGAGCAGACCCAGTGTTTGAGTGCAGGGAAAGCACAGGCAGCGCCTGTCCAGCACAGTGACAAGGCACAATCAGAGTGTGGGTGTTACCGGTATTGAGGGGCAGCACACAACGAGGGCAGAGTTAAGGTTACATGGGCATTTACCTTTATTCTGTATGTCCTGGTTTTCAGAAGCTTGAGTTTTGCTCAACTGGAACTTCCGGATGGGCACTAGCTGTCACGGGGAGAGCTTCACTCTGTTTCGATGAAGTTTTGGGCTATTTAATTCCTTAGTTGTTTGAAGAGAAAGAAAAACGTTGGGAGCAGTCAGTGGCCCTTGTGGCCACTGTCAATAGTAGTGGGTATGGATGACAAGGGAAGTGAAAGGTTCTTTTCAGAACCACTATGTTTTTCTGGACAGGAGTTTTATTGTGTGCCCTGCTTGGCCAGTGTGGGCTTCCCTCACATCCACCCCTCACATCCACCCCGAGAACTTCCCCATAAGTGCAAAGCAAATTGGAGGCTCAGTGAAGTGGCCTGTTCATCTCAATGAGCTATTCTGAGCTGAGTACCAGCTGGGTGTTCAGGGTGTTGTCAGTGCCCACTCCCCATGTGCCTCTTCTCACCCCAAGGGGCGACACTTCCCCAGACCTGGCACATATGGGGGGGGAGTAGGGAGATGGACTGAACCCCCTTCCCCCCGAAGGGCAAGGACAAAAGCCGCAAGGTCATATGAGAAGATCAGGGAGGGTCGGACCCTCATGGGTAGGTTGGGAACCCCCAGATAATGTCACACGCATGGGAGGGGACTGTAGGCTGTCTAGTGCCACTGCCCCCATTTTCCCCCAGGCCCCTGTCACTCATCCTCATGTTCCCCTTCCCACTCCTCCCCCCATTCCAACTTACCCCCCATCCCTCCCATCTCCTGACTCCCCAACGTGCCTCCTACTCACCCTCCTCCCCATAATCACCCCTCCTCCCACTGCCTCCCAAAACTCCTCTCCCCCTAGCCCCACCAACTCTTCCCTCCCAGCTGTCGCTCCAGTAACAGTTCCCCAAAATTAAAAACACTTCAAGAGACCCCTCCTGGTTTGAGTCACAGCTTTCTGCCTGGAGTTAGATTTGAACTCACAGGGCCTCGGTTTGCTGGCCAGAACATTCTCCCTTCAGCAGCTCAAGGCCTGGGAGTCAGTGTTCCATGCAATCCCTCTGGCGTGGTTCCAGGCACTTCAAAGGCTGACACACCTAACTGAGAGCTCAAGACTGTGGAGTATGTCTGGCTTCATGGAGAGGAAACTCCAGCTCCTGCATTCTCCCCCCACCTCCACTGAACCCCTCCTACCCTAATCCATGAGTGTCTTCCTCCTTTTGCCTCACACAGCCAGACCCCCAAGCAACCCCCCCTGCCACTAATCCCCTCCCTGCCCTCTAACAACCCTCCACCCCACAGACCCTCTGAGCCCCTTCTAAGGCCCAGAGCCAATTCCTCACCTACAGTTCCTAGCTCAGCTTCCTCAGAGATCCCCACCGAACCCCTCTGCCCACCAGTGCCCTCCTCTGCTCAGCCCCACTTTCATGACATGGCCCCAGTCCCAGGGAACAGCCCCCACAACAAATGCCCATTCTCTCCTTCTCCCCATTGGCCAGCCCTGGTCCCCACTTCCTTCCTCCCCTCATCCTTCCTCTGCCTAGCCCAGCTCCCCTCTTCTGAGCAGTGCCTCTGCTCAGCACTGCACCATTAACCTGGGGAACTCACTGCCACAATGTATCGCTGACACAAAGAGCCCAGCAGCGTGAGAAATTGGCATGCAGCATGAAAGCCTCTGACAGATCGATGGTCAGAAAAGTGATGGTGGAACAGTTTTTTGCTGGAAAATGCCGATTCGATTCAATTTAAATATTTTATGGGAACATATTGATTTCATTGAAATTATCATGGGAAATTCTATGCACAACCTTGGGTAAAACATTTTCACTCCTATCACATCAATAGTTAGCTCTGTGCAAATAACAAAAACCAAACCAAAACAAGAAAAATACCTAGATTCTTTTAGAAAAAGATGTTTATTTGGGCGGGTATTGCCTCTCCGCAATCCCTCTCTGAAATGACCCCCAATTTGCGGCATTGACCTCACTCAGCCCCCTCCTGGGGCACACCCGATCTCAAAGGGATCTGACTGAGCAAGTCCATTTGAGAGGAATTAGAAAACAGAAGTTGTGACACAACCTAACCTATAACAGTGCTGCTGTGAAACTATAAGCAGTGACCCCTCTTGGCATATCTGGGTGGGCAAGGGGGGTTGGGGTGCAGGCTTGGGTGGCTTGGCCCAGCTGTGGGGTGCAGGCATGTTGGGGTGTAGCATGACTGGGGTGCTTAGGCAGAGCTGGGATGCAGAGAGTTGGGAACCACTGATAGGTGCTGGAAGGATGGTGTGCTTTGGAAGAGCTGTGGGGTACTGGGGATTGGGAGTGCAGGGGATCGTGGTACACTGCCAGATCTGAGGGGTGCTGTGCCTCCCTCACCTGAACCACTGCATCCCCTCCTTCTCCTACCATCCATCCACATTTATCCCCTGGCCATAATATCCTGCCATCCCAAACCCCTCTCCCCCTGTTCCTCCACTCCTCTGCCCCCTAATTACCCCTACCCTCCCAGGAAGCATTCACATGTCTAATTTTTCACCCAAAGGCTTTGATTACTTCCCCCCCCCCAAAAAAAATACAAATGCTGCCAGGACTCACCAGTTGTAGCAACCTCTTGCCACTTGGCTCAAAACTTCTCTTGTCTGAGGGTGCAGGCTTGTGGATAACTTATTGTAATTATGTTAATTGAAGTTTACGGCCATTAATAATAGAATCAGAGAATCATAGGACTGGAAGGGACCTTGAGAGGTCATCTAGTCCAGTGGTTCTCAAACCAGGGCCGCCGCTTGTTCGGGGACAGCCCCTGACGAGACGGGCCGGTTTGTTTACCTGCCGCGTCCGCAGGTTTGGCCAATTGCGGCTCCCACTGGCCGCTTCAGGCCAATGGGGGCTGTGGGAAGCAGCGCGGGCCGAGGGATGTGCTGGCCACCCTTCCCGCAGCCCCCATTGGCCTGGAGCGGCGAACTGCGGCCAGTGAGAGCCGCGATTGGCCGAACCTGCGGATGCGGCAGGTAAACAAACCACTTTCCTTGAACAAGCGGCAGCCCTAGTTTGAGAACCACTGATGTAGTCCAGTCCCCTGCGCTCATGGCAGTACTAAGTATTATCTAGACCATCCCTAC